AGTTCTTTTTAAAATTACAAGCTTTAACTAAATATAGACTAGATCCCTGTGTCTCCTTTTTTACGTGGCAGCATCTGTAAGTGAAGACACTTTCTTACCACTGCTTCGCTCCCCAAGCCGCAGCCTCCTACAAGTCTCCCCACTCTCTCCCTTCTCTGTTATCTTAGGTTATCACCTTTCCGAACTGCTCTGCCTGCTTCTTCCCTGATCTCCACCATGCAGGCAAGTAATCTGTCTAAAGTTCAAAGCCAATCATAGACTTTCTTTCTTAAAACTCTTCAACAGTTTCCACTGCCTTTAGGATAAGGTTTGAACTCATTAACCTGGTATATGAGACTTCATGATTTCACCTCTGATCACCTTTGGAGCTTTATTTCTAAACATGCCCACCCCACCCCATCTCTGAGCCCCACGCAGGCACAGTGCAATCCTTTGTAGGCCCAGGCTGCTTCCACCTCTAGAATTGCTGCATTGCTGTGTCCTACTTCCACCTAGAGGTGGAAGTACTGCATTTTGGACTCTTTTGTTGACCATGATGGCTACTCCATTTCTTCTAAGGGATTCCTGCCCACAGTAGCAGAAAAAATGATCATCTGAGTTAAATTCACCCTTTCCAGTCCATCTTAGTTCGCTGATTCCTAAAATGCCAGTGTTCACTCTTGCCATCTCCTGTTTGACCACTTCCAATTTGCCTTGATTCAGGGACCTAACATTTCAGGTTCCTATGCAATATTGCTCTTTACAGCACCGAATCTTGCTTCTATCACCAGTCCCATCCACAACTGGGTGTTGTTTTTGCTTTGGCTGCATCCCTTCATTCTTTCTGGAGTCATCTCTCCACTGATCTCCAGTAGCATATTGGGCACCTACCGACCTGGGGAGTTCATCTTTCAGTGTCCTATCTTTTTGCCTTTTCATGCTGTTCATGGGGTTCTCAAGGCAAGAATACTGAAGTGGTTTGCCATTCCCTTCTCCAGTGGACCACATTCTGTCAGATCTCTCCACCATCACCCATTCGTCTTGGGTGGCCCCACATGGCACAGCTTAGTTTCATTGAGTTAGAGAAGGCTGTGGTCATGTGATTAGATTGGCTAGTTTTCTGTGATTGTGGTTTCAGTCTGTCTGCCCTCTGATGCCCTCTCTCAGTGCCTACCGTCTTACTTGGGTTTCTCTTACCTTGGACCTGGGGTATCTTTTCACGGCTGCTCCGAGAACATTTAATGCAAACATGGGCTCAATAAAGGACAGAAATGGTAGCGACCTAAAGAAACAGGGGCTTCCCTGGCAGCTCAGCTGGTAAAGAATCTGCCTGCAAAGTGGGAGACCTGGGTTCAATCCCCGGGTTGGGAAGATCCCTTGGAGAAGGGAAAGGCTACCCACTCCAGTATTCCAGCCTAGAGAATTCCATGGACTATACAGCCCATGGGGTCACAAAGAGTCGGACATGACTGAGCGACTTTAACTAACTAACTAACAGAAGCAGAAGATATTAAGAAGAGGTAGCAAGAATACATATAAGAACTGTACAAAAAAGATCTTCATGACTCAGATAATCGCAATGGTGTGATCACTCACCTAGAGCCAGACATCCTGGAATGTGAAGTCAAGTGGGCCTTAGGAAGCATCACTACGAACAAAGCTAATAGAGGTGATGGAATTCCAGTTGAGCTATTTCAAATCCTGAAAGATGATGCTGTGAAAGTGCTGCACTCAATATGCCAGCAAATTTGGAAAACTCAGCAGTGGCCACAGGATTGGAAAAGGTTAGTTTTCATTCCAATCCCAAAGAAAGGCAACGCCAAAGAATGCTCAAACTATCACACAATTGCACTCATCTCACATGCTAGCAAAGTAATGCTTAAAATTCTCCAAGCCAGGCTTCAGCAATAGGTGAACCGTGAACTTCCAGATGTTCAAGCTGGTTTCACAAAAGGCAGAGGAACCAGAGATCAAATTGTTAATATCCGCTGGATCATCGAAAAAGCAAGAGAGTTCCAGAAAAACATCTATTTCTGCTTTATTGACTACACCAAAGCCTTCGACTGTGTGGATCACAACAAACTGTGGAAAATTCTGAGAGATGGGAATACCAGACCACCTGACCTGCCTCTTGAGAAACCTGTATGCAGGTCAGGAAGCAACAGTTAGAACTGGACATGGAACAAAAGACTGGTTCCAAATAGGAAAAGGAGTACGTCAAGGCTGTATATTGTCACTCTGCTTATTTAACTTATATGCAGAGTACATCATGAGAAATGCTGGGCTGAAAGAAGCACAAGCTGGAATCAAGATTGCTGGGAGAAATATCAATAACCTCAGATATGCAGGTGACATCACCCTTATGGCAGAAAGTGAAGGGGAACTAAAGAGTCTTGATGAAAGTGAAAGAGGAGAGTGAAAAAGATGGCTTAAAGTTCAACATTCAGAAAACTAAGATCATGGCATCTGGTCCCATCACTTCATGGCAAATAGATGGGGAAACAGTGGAAACAGTGGTTGACTTTATTTTTAGGGGCTCCAAAATCACTGCAGATGGTGATTGCAGCCATGAAATTAAAAGACGCTTGCTCCTTAGAGGGAAAAGTTATGACCAACCTAGACAGCACATTAAAAAGCAGACATTACTTTGTCAACAAAGGTCCGTCTAGTCAAGCCTATGGTTTTTCCAGTGGTCATGTATGGGTGTGAGAGTAGGACTATAAAGAAAGCTGAGCACTGAAGAATTGATGCTTTTGAGCTGTGGTGTTGGAGAAGACTCTTGAGAGTCCCTTGGACTGCAAGGAGATCCAACCAGCCCATCCTAAAGGAAAACAGTCCTGAAAGTTCATTGGAAGGGCTGATGTTAAAGCTGAAACTCCAATACTTTGGCCACCTGATGCGAAGAGCTGACTCATTTGAAAAGACTCTGATGCTGGGAAAGATTGAAGGCAGGAGGAGAAGGGGACGACAGAGGATGAGATGGTTGGATGGCATCACTGACCCAATGAACATGGGTTTGGGTGAACTCCGGGAGTTGGTGATGGACAGGGAGGCCTGGCATGCTGCAGTCCATGGGGTCACAAAGAGTTGGACATGATTGAGTGACTGAACTGAACTGAACTGAGAGGTGGGAGTTTTTAAACTAAAATTATATGCAAAATTATGTGTGTGTAGCTATGTATGTATACACAAATGCACACCGTAAAAAACTGCAAGTGCCTCTGACATTATTTATAAGTTCCCTGAACATCAACTTTGGACCCTACTTTAAGAACCCCTTTCTTAAGGAATAAGCAAGCTTCGAACTGATATCAAAAAGTTCTGAAATATATCATTCAGAAGTTTAGCACACAAAGCATATGTGAATCAGACATATTAACTGTATTCTACATCACTGGAATGTTCTCCATTACCCTTCTTCCCAAAGAAAGTTAGTTGAATTATTATTTTAATGTAGTTTCCCTGAGAAGCAGTTACCCTAGTAGAAAACATCCTGTCACTGTTCTGAGAACGCTGAGATCCTAGAATATGAACACTTCTTCCTCATGAGAATGCCTGAGCATGCTGTTACCCAAACAATAAAAAAAAAAAACTTAAAAAAACTGGATGATCTTAGATGAACAGCTGCGTAGAAAGGAGACTGTAAAAATAAAAACTGCATGTTGGAGCATCAAAATAGTAACCATGTACAGTATATGACTGTTTTTAATCAGCTGAAGATTGAAGCTATTACATTTCAAATTGAATGTTATAAATTAGTTCAAGAATGCAGCTGAGCTCACATTTAATTAGAAATGTCCATGTTTAAATCATGAGGTACAGTAGCTGCCAATGAAGTAAAAGGGCAACGGAAGGGAGAGGTACTCTGCCCAGAACTTCCCGTTGTCCACTGTCTCCTATGCTGGCCGAGACTCTGGGTCAGACCAGTCCTGATGTGATGAAGAACTTCATGTACTAGCTAATTTGAGAGTTAATATAACCGAACATAATTGTTTTGAAGACAATTAAAATCATTATTCTGGACTGAACAATTCTGAACTCTTCATTTTCGTGTGAAATGTGTTTTCCCCCGTGCTGAATTTTAACTCTTTCTTAGAGGAAAAGTAAACCAAATTTTGGGCCGAGATTTCCCCGGAGAAATAATCCACAGATTGTCAGATCATGTTAAAAATGCAGCACAAGCAGTGAGGTACACCTTTGGAAACAAGCCTCCTTTCCTATTTCTAGGGCTTGATGTAGCTCAGCTAGAGTCCAAATCTACATCCCAAATGTTACACACCTCCCTGTTACCTAAAAATGAGGCAATACCGCAGAGGATTTCTGAGGTCATAGAGAGAAGTCTGCAATCATCCTACAGCAGACTTTCCCCCAAAGCTTATGGGCCCCTGAATCTCATAATTAACCAGCGAGACAGTCCAGGCAAAAGGTCTTTCTTTTCTCCCAATTTGCTTAATTCAAAAACACCTCAAGTGACATAGCTCAAATTTTCCAAATTAAACTCACCCCTGGGGCTGAAATCAAGCATGTGACAGTTCAGTTCTAAAGAAAATCTTAAAGAGAGTTGTGCACAAGAAAAAAAGAGAAGAAAAAAAAATCAGAGGAAAAAGGGGTAGGAGTTAACATTTAAGTGGGTTTTCAACCTCATCATTACCCCTGCTCAAGAAAATAGAACACAGATGGGCGAAACACACCATCGTTCTGCCCTGAAGAGTCTAAGGAACTCATTAAAAACTAGTGCTGTTTCCTCATGGTCTATCGTGGATTTGTAAGGGGACACAATGATTGATTGGCTGCATCCCACAGCACTCGGTGTTCCACACCGTCCTGGGGTGGAAAGTGGAAGGATGAGTCACAAAGATACTGTGTGCCACTGCAACCCCTGAAAGCTTATTGTTGACACAATTCTTCAAGGTCGATTTTTTCCAGGGAACTGAGGAGTGACTATATTGTCCCAAGCTGTTCTGATTTGTAAAAATGGTTTCCATTAAGTAATAACACACTTCCCACAAACTTTCTCTTACTTCTGGCCACAGCACCACACTCTTCCACTCCGACACCAGAGAGAGGGTAAATGGGAATCAGGTCCACTGCTCCCAGGCAAGGATGGATCCCCTCCTGAACCTCCATATTGATAGACTGGAAGGCTTCCAAGCAGGCAGCCAGAACGGAATTGCCTTAAAAATGTAAAATTTTTAAAAAATAAAATAAAAGCATTAAACTCTCAATTGCATCTAAAGAAGCAGCTATAATTATTATTGTCCTACCAGTTTGTTTTCCTTTCGTAAAATGTATAGAAGATTGTTTTTTCATCCAAAATAAAGAAAAATGTAAGATCCAACATTTCCCCTCTCCCCACCTCCCAAGTGTCATAAAGTTTCCCATATCTTCTAATTCTTTACTTCCCAAAGTGGAAGAAGTAAGCAAAGTTTATTGGTCTTAAAAAAACTTTGTATCTTTTTTTAATAATTGGTTACTTCCAATTCTTTCAACATTGTCAAATTAATCTGATAAAATTCTTTGTTTTTTTCAGAATATTTTATGAGTTTATATTAAAACAGATAAACATAGCATAGCATCACCAATTCAATGAACATGAACTTGGGCAAACTCTGGGAGATAGTGAGAGACAGTCAGGCCTGGTGTGCTACAGTTCATGCAGAGTCGGACATGACTTAGTGACTGAACAACAAAGACAAAAATATGTTTTTAAAAGTATACCATAGGTATTTTAGTTTTGCTCTTATGACTAGATTTTCATTAAATTTTGTATGTGTGTTAAGTCGCTTCAATCTTGTCCAACTCTTTGCAACGCCATGGGCTGTAGCCTGCCAGGCTCCTCTGTCCATGGAATTATCCTGGCATGAATGTTGGAATGGGTTGCCATTTCCTTCTCCAGGTTCATTAATTATTCTATCTAAATACATATAGACACCTCAGAGTGTTATTACTCTTGAGTTTTCATTATCAGTGCACTATGACCATTTTGGTCCTGTATTTGCTGAGAATCATCCATCAGCTCTTTGCTTTCCAAACAAACATACCTTTTGAGAAAAAACAATCTGCTAAGCTGAAACCAAGTTTATCTGAAAATAATTTAAATTCTTTACCAAGCAATGCTAGGGATAATACAGATTTTTGTTTAATCAAGTATGATCCTTCAAATTCAAGCTGTCCCACTAAACCTTACAACAGGATACATGAAACCCATTTCATTTCACCCAATGGACCATCTCAAGATTTCAGGCTCCTGATGCAAAACACAACTGCTTAGCATGTTTCATTTCAAGTCAACTTATCAGTGAAATCAAATTCAACACTATGACTTCACAGGTTAAAACCTGAAGATATTTTTCTTAACCACAAAAAAATATGTGATCATCTACAGGGAAAGAATGTTATTAAATACTGGGCCCCAAGATTCATTTTAATGAAGAGGAAGCAGGAAATGAATATCTCAAAGATGTACCCATTCAGAAAAATGAAGAAATGCAGTTTTGAGGTAGACTTCTTATGCATGGAGAAGAGTATTCAGATTAACACAGGAAATCAATGATTAAGGAGCATTTGGGTCTACTGGAAGCCGACCCTTCACCAAAAGACATATATAGAAAAAGAAACTGAAATCTTACCTATCTCCTCAATAGAAGCTGCTATTGTAATAACTGATCTATTATACTCCGGATCAGAAAATATATTGAGCACTGTTACTTCAGGGTGTCTCTGTCCTATATAAAAAAACAACACATAAATGCAAGAATTCTTTTCTCTGGTGAAACCTTAATACTTTATTTTTCTTGATACAACAAAATTGAGCTTAACAGAAAGATTTGGGGGAAGGGGTGACCTCTGAAGTGACACTGACTAGTCAAGAAATTCATAGACAGTAATGTCCACTTCCTACATTATCTTCCTTTACAATCGGATGGCTCAGCTCAGATACTGGGCATTGGTGTCTATGAGAGACCTTCTCTTGCACTTGCTTCTGAATTTGTCAAAGTTCTCTTAACTCAGTCCAAGATGATAGCCTCTTCTGTTAGCAAATCGTATCACACTAAATTCTGTTTCCTTTCAATCTCATCTTCTATGCCTGGGCAATTTTTCCTTCCAAAACCAGAGATCAAACCGGATCAAAAAATAACATCTGGAAAAACTAGGATAGGCCAATTAGTGCCTAGAGCAGAGGTTCCTGGGATACATGCACCTGCCTATTAGAAACTGTTCTGACTCCAGCATCTCCTTTTCAAAGGCCACCAACAGCCTTCAGATGTTAACGACTTCCAGCCTTCAGCCACGTGTGACTCACTGAAATGTGTAACCTGGAGGAGAAAGCTGCCATACCCATGTATGGTGGCCACCCATAACCCCGTGGTTATTTTTGAAGTTTACAAGCCTTGCTCAAGCTCCTTAAAAGTTCCTCGTATGCCTACAAAAGCAAATTCAAAGTGAAGGACAAAAGTTTTCAGGCGGTAATTAAGCCTTTCACTATGCCATTATACCTTTGTCGCCCTGTCCCCTGGCAGCTTAACAATTAATCTTTTCAAGGAGAGGGAAAATAACTTACATACGGAACTACAGAGCTTACAGCAGCCCTACACTATTAATTTTAATAATGTGAAAAGATAAACTTATGTCACTCACTCATAGCCAAATGAGCATCTACAGAGACCTACCCTGGTGTAGGTCTAAAATTTATAACTCAGCTTTCTTTACATAAGACCTTTCAGACCATTTAAGTGTTTTCACATTGCTTAATTGGAAAAAATATAGGTGATATAGTTTGATTCCACTCACTTAAAAATAAATGCCTTTAAAGTATCCGTAAAACAGCAGGTCATTTTCTTAACTAGTGCTGCCTTCCCTGAATTTTTAAAACTATGAAAGACAGAGCAGGAACGAGATCATACAACCTCCTTTTTATGTATTTTTTTCAACATACTTTAGCTTTTAGAAGAAAAGAGATAATTTTATTTTTTTCATCCGAAATCTTCTTCTGCAAAGCTTTTATTCTGTTTCATATGATTCAATTGATTCAAATGCTGAAAGAATGAAACTCTCTCCTGCAATTTCTTAAGCATGCATATAGAAAAAAAAATTACTTCTGGCAGCAGGAGCTGTCAGTATGAATCTCAGCAGAAGTAAATTGTTTGGTATTTGTAATGGAGTATAATAGCTATAATTCCATTTGAGCTACTGCCACTAATAAGCTGATAAAAACTGCGAGTTGAGACCCAGGCGTCCATCAGTGTGTGACTTCCACAAATGTCTCTGCCCAGTCATTTAATCACAGAATGTGTCTCTGGACATCCACCCAATCCCATTAGATGTACTATCTGACAGTGTGGGGCCCAAGCTGGCTCTTCCCACAAAGAGAATGCAAAAGCACAGCTGCATGCTGACTCCAGACGAGTTTTCCTATCAGCAATTATCAGGAATTTTCACAGACATTCCTAGCCCCCCAAAGTTGCTAGATGGTAACTTGAATGTGCTCAGTGTTAGAAACACTAGGAAAAGCACCTCTCTCTCATGAAAAGCAATAACCAGATCAAAAATTACAATCAGAAATTAAAATAGACTGTTTTAAACGCTTCAGGGCTATGACCCTAATACTCACCTGTTGCCAAAAGGCTGTTGATTTAATAACAAAGCTTTTGTATTTAAATGATGGTAAACCTGTAAATACACTATGTTTTGTGTATGTGTGAAAGTAAAAACAAGTAATATCTAGAACTATATGTCATCACATGATCATTTTAACAAAGTTTAAGAAAAGAGAGAAAGAGTAGCATTTCTAATAGTAAATACTGGTCCAGGGGGTAAAGGAGTTTCAGTCTTCTGAATTTGAATGGCCGAATGATCTTACACACATTACTTAAACGCCTAAGAGTCTTCATACGGAGAAAATGGAGTAGAAATATTAATGCTGTAATATTTGCTGGCAGGAGTGCTTTTGAAAAGTACTTGGTATTCGACAAGTTTATTTTTTATTTAACCTGCTGAATAAAAAGCATAATGAATTATGTTCACTCTATTAATGATCATACACATGGCCCATGAGGGAAACATTAAACCTGTATGTGAATATATCCTCTTCAGGAGTCTGTCAATACCCTGAACAATGTGCATTTCAGACACCCTCTCCAATGTGAAGAAATATGCTTGTGGATGGTATGCAGGCATTTGGAAGAGAGTGTATGTGCACATCTGAGTAAGTGATCTATCTCAAGCATTCTGGAGCCAAGCTATGATAGCCCAAGAACAAGGGAGAAAATTCAGGAAGAAAGCAGAAGTGTGTTCTATGGACACTGTCAGCAGAATAAAAAAATTATTCTTATTATCAAAACACTACACATTCACATCTATTGCCTGTTGTTCCTACCATTTCTTTCAAGAAGAGCAGCTTTTGCTATGTTCTCAACAATGTACTTTTTTCTGGCTTCTGAAATGTTTAATAAACAGGCAGCCAAACGGAGCCCCACTCGGCAAGAAGACATGGTGATTTTCTTCTAGAAAAGGAGAAAAATGAGTCTTCATTTTGGTTTCTACAGTTTATTCATATTTTCACATTCATTAAACATTTAAAAAGTCATAGCTGTTTGGAAACCAGGTAGCCATAACATGAATACTTTACTATTTCAATAGTAGGAAACACCTAAAGGATAATATCTCACATTGACAGCCAAAAAACCATGCACATGAGGTCATGCACATATGAACATGTGAAGACAGTAACAGACTAGAAAATATCCATCAAGTACTCAGTCTGAATTCTGTCATGGGAAACTTTCATTAAAGTATGTCATTCTCTTTTAAATAATGCCTTCTATAGTTTAATCCTGTTTTTGAAGAAGCATGATACTTTTGTTAAATAAGATTATTGGGGAAATACAGAAAAGAGAAATGAGAGATTACTTAATATGCTGATTCTTACAAAAACTATCCTGACAGAAAGGGTACCTCCACGAGCCATGCCATGGATAGTACATGAACATATACAAAGGAGATTCACTTGGAGGTTTTAAATGACAACTGTTTGATTAAGTTCCTCTTGTACTTCGATCTCCATAGTCCATAAACCAGTTTAAAATCTTTCACAGGACTTTGTACATTGAACTAAAAGCTGACATGGAGTACTCGGATAAGTTACTCAATAATCAGCCAAAAATGTGACTGATTTCTTTGAAAATGGAATCATCATACAAGTTTTGGAGGTTGCTTTGACTTTCTTCAGTACCCCAGCACAGTATTTTCAACTAGTTATCTTTCCAAACTTCAAATGATATTATGAACTTAAGTTTAAATATTGCAAAACAAAAAAATCCCCCCTTTTTAAGATCAGGTCATCATATTTCCACCTCTTTTAAATATAGCTAAAAGTGAAGGTGGCCCTCATGAACTCATTCAGTAAATTTTACTGTGGAACATTTTGTGACAGGTAAAGTCCTCCCTGTGAGGGGTACTGCAGAGAACGGTGCACAACTGAGACACACGTTAAGCTCGTGAGTTAAAGCTAACATGCTGTGGTGTGATTAATAGCGTTCTCCGTGCATAAATCCAATGGCTTCTGTTCACTAGGACTGTTCGTTGGCCTGATCATTCTAACCTAAGAGGAGATAACAGGGCTTCACCGTTAGTTCAAGTTTTCACATCGTGACCATCATCTCACGGTTGAAAATTCAGAAAAAACAGCGTCATTAGGATTCTGTAGACATTAATAACACTGTTGCAATAGAGCAGCTCAGACCTCTCTCGTTTTTATGTAAACAAAAAATTGCTTTACACAAGGGGTGTGGGCGTCTTCTGGCTTTCATTTGTTTTCTGTGTGTTTATGTAGCTTAATTGTCTCATCAGGCACTTTCCCAACATAATTATGCTTTTTAACAAATGGTGTTTATGGCAACCCCTAACAGTGCAAAAGAAGGGATTAGTTTCATCCTCTCATTCCACATTTTGATTCCCTGTGGACAGCTAAATCATACAAAGATGGTGTTAGAAAAATCTACCTTCATTGCAAAAGCTGAAATTAGCGGCAATATCAGGCCTTTGGCAAGCACTCAGGCTTATTAGTAGAAAGAGCAAGTCTTTCTCTTCCTCCTCCTCCTCTAAGAATTTGACCCCGAGCAAGACCCCAAACATTTGTGGTTTGAGAGGATGATCGTAATTCGCCCAACCCTTGGATCACCTTTGGGATTACTTCCGGCTAGAGACCCAAAACCTGCCTCCCTCGGAGGAACTGGGTGGACCAGTGCGGAGCAGAGCAGTCCCCAGCGCTCTGCCACATCACCTGCGTCCGGCGCACGCACCACCGCTAGCACTTGAGGGCCGCAGAGGCTCGTCCCGGAGGCACCGGGCAGTGCGGGGCAGACGCCGCCACGGGCCCTCCCTGCGCGGTCCCGCGCGGGTCCTAGCGTGGAGTGGCCCAGAGCCCCGTGAGACGAGGGGTGGGCCGAGGGTAAGACCGAGGGACTCGCTGTGGGCCCCCGAGGGACTCGCTGTGGGCCCCCCGGGGAAGCCAGCGAGGGGATCAGCGTCCGCGGGAGGCGGGGCCGGGAGCCAGGGGCGGCGGGCGGCGGCGCTCCCGCGGGCCCGCCTGGAGCTTGTGGCCACCTCGGCCGCTCCGCGGTTTGCGGGGGACCCACCTGCGCGCGCGGCGGGCGGCGGGGTAGGACGGCGCCGAGCCCAGGCGCCGCGTGACCAGTGCGCCGCTTCCGCCGCCGGCCCCGCCTCCCGGGCGCGCTCCAGCCCCACCGCCCGCTGGCTGGGCTCAGATCTGAGCTTCCTTCCTGCCTCTTCCCGACCCGACCCGACCGCGTGCTGCGTCCCGGAGAGCTTAACCTTTCTTCTAGACGTGCCTTCCCACCGCGCCTGCTTTAACTTGGAAATCTCCACGGTTCTGTTGTAAATGAATGACTTTTTAAAAGGGAATTAGAATCTAATGATGAGGTCATTACTCATTGATCCTACACCAGCAGGGGGCTCTTTTCTCTATTTACACAGAAACTCCCCACCCCCCCGCACACACACCCCTTTCATAAATTCCCTCCTGAGAAACACTGTCCGCGAGCGACTGTGAATATGATCTGGACCAAGACAAAAGCATATACCCGTTTAGTCAAAATTACGAGTAGGAACCAGGCATTAAGCCTTTCCCTTTTTTCTAGGCCAGTGAACCTTGAGAATACATTTCTCTTCCAAAAAAAAAAAAAAAAATCAGGACCTGCTTTCTTTTTAATGTAACAAGGATTAAATGTCACCATTTTGATCCAATTTTGTTCCCGAAGTGAAATAATCACTAAATAACTACTTGGGTGGAATACATTAATTTTTAAATCTATTTTTTATTTTCTAATTATACTTTTTAAACACAGATTTGAGGAAATTAACATTTATGTGGACATTTGGTTTCTAGCCTAATGTGGCATAAAAATAAGTAACATAATGAGTGTTAAAAAAAATCAGGTTCATGATGCTTCTCACATCATCATCATTGTGCTTAGATGTCACAACAGTATTATGTGCGATTGTGTCAGATCCAGCCTTCTCCATCTCAGAGTGTTGGCAGGTAGGAGGGTTGTTGGCAAGAGGAGGGGTGTTAACCTCAGGATCCTGGATCCTTTCCAAGGCTGGTAATTACATTCTGCCAGCCAAAATTCATCCCATAATTTTAATTGGATAAATCCTTTCTGGCCTAAGCTACTGCTATGCCTGTCAAACTGTTGCCACATTTCACCCCAGAGGTGTCTGTGTTTTAGTTGCAAGAATCAGTCCCTTTGAGGTTGGTTTATCAGTTTAAATCCTCAAAGTGCTTTGGGACCCTAAGGAATTAAATATATATTTGAGGGTTTTTTTCCTATTGAATCTGCATAGAAAATGTATAAAATAGATTTATATGCATGTTAATGTCTGTTATCTAATGTCAGCAGATAATTTTGAGAGCTCTTTAACCAGATCAACATCCCTACCTTTCTCTTCTTTCTAGAAATTCTTATTGCCCATAGCTTTCACTTCCAGTTTCCAAAAAGTACCTAAGTATCCAAAGTTTCTTTCCACGGAAGACAATAGAAGTGAAGCCCTTATTTTTCACCTCTCCAACAATCCCATGCGATAACTTGCTAAAACAAAAGACAGAGTAGTAACATTACACCTAGTCTTCTCATATCCCTCCAGAGAAGACAGGGGCTTCATGATTATAGCTGTAGCATCTGCCAGGACTAAATCTTCCTCGCCATATCTCCTAATCCTCTTTGTGAGAATCACTCTCCCTTCCAGGACTGCTGGGGCATCAAGTAAGATAAGGCCTCTGAAAGCATCAACACAGAGTTACTCAGTAAGCCTTGCCCTTTTCTCCACTGCAGTCATGTCAAACACAAATTGAGAAAAAGCAGGGCCCAGGGTTCTTTTAGAAGGGGGGCAGCCTCTGCCCCCGCCTGAGGACTGTAAGCATATCTTTTTGAAAAAGACAAGGAGACAGATAGCAGCAAGGCTGATGAGAAGTTTAGCACTGAGATTGAAAGTCTTTTGCTGTCTTCAGGAATGGAAAAGTACCCTCGGTGTTAGTTTATCACGTGTAATTCTGCCCTGTTTTAAAAGAGTGTACATCACATTTACAATTACGTATATTAAACATCTCATTTTTGTTTAACTTAGCATGCTTCGGAGGGACATTTTCATACTTTTTGGGTGAATGTGTTACTTTGATTCCTCATTTCTTCTGCTGTAAATCCACATTCTGGGCATTAGTTGTTTTGCTCATCGTGGATTCTGTCCAGAAACAAGTACTGGGAAGGGAGAACAGCCCAAAGTCCCAGTGTCACTTCCATCAATGACAACTGCTTCCGAACACTCCCATAGCTTCCCCGTGAGACAAAAGGACATTTTTCTAAATTCTTCATTTTCGTTTTTGCAGGCAGAGAGAAAACAGTTCTCGTTCTCGGCCCATCAGAGTTGAGGCAGGTCAAAGGGGGAGGCTGTGCTCAGGTGGGGCTCTGCAGACCCACTTGAACCCAGAGCCCAGTGCTGCTTGAGTGGGGCTGGGAGCCATTCAGCTCAGGCTCAAAATACAAGTGGTGCCAAAAGCTTCAGTGATGCAATACTTTAAGAAGTCAATACAAAGCAGTAAGTCAGTGCTGAACAAAATATCAAAATTTTAAGGAACATCAGGAGCCTGTTTTACACTTGTCGGCTCAGCCACACTCACCTCAGCCTGTGGTTGTGTTCCCCTGCGTGCCAGCCCGTTTCTGATTGTAGGGTTGGGAAGAAACTACGCCACTCTGCCTTGCCTACATCCTCTCTTCTGCCCCTGAAATGGGCAACAAAACCAAAAATATCAAGGGTAGAAATTTCCAGGCCAGCAGATACATATAATTTATAGTTTGTTCAAGGGTTTCATTATTCTTGCCTGGAGAATTCCATGGACAGAGGAGCCTGATGGGCTATAGTCCAAGGGGTCACAGGGGGTCAGACACGACTGAGCAATTCACATAACACACACAAG